TGACACCTTTCTTGCCCATTAAGGAACTAATTTCTGAGTGCATTTTTCTGAAACACGTTGATTAAAAGCACACAAAATGTAAATTTTCAGTTACCACGGACTCTTAAGCTGAGGAAATAACTAATCTTTTGGCGGCCATTTTCTCACTTATTTTACCTCTGAAAACAGGTGACCCTCACCTCCTTCATTCGCAAATATCTCGACTTGTATTCAAGATAAATGGATCTTTTTTCATCCAAATAAAGACAAATGAACTAGCTTTAGAATGATGCAAATAACCCTATATGACCAAAAAATGACGCTGCCTCACAATGTATGATATTACGCTCACTACCTGCTCAGAATTACAACGTTCTGTTTGCTCAGTGCCCAGTTTTGAGAAATTTGACGCTAAAGATTTTGAGTTTCACAACATGTCAACCTTTTTTTAAATGCTCTTCTTTGAATATCTTAATAACGACCTCGAATAAACTTACGATGTGGGTGGTTGGCGGGTGCTCTGGTGTGGTTTGCTCCTTCTTTCCTATAAAAAAATCTATCGTCTCTATCTCCCCTCCTTCTTTTTTGTGTTTGTTACTCTCTTGTAACACCTTTAATCTTCTGGCGCTCATATGACCTTGTGGGTGGTTGGCGGGTGCTCTGGTGTGGTTTGCTTCTTCTTTCCTATCAAACATCTATCGTCCTTATCTCCCCTTTTTCTTTTTTATGTTTGTTACTTTCTTGTAACACCTCTAATCTTCTTGCGCTCATATGACCTTATGCAGTTGCGAGCGCCGTAAAACCTCTACTAAAAAACTCATATGACCTTATGCAGTTGCGAGTGCCGTAAAACACTTACTAAAATTAAATTAATAAACTTACGATTTTGATAGAGCTGAGATAGATAGAACATTTATTGGTTTCTGACCTCATGGTCTTATAATGGTAACTCAAAACGGCCAAAAATGTCAGATAGAACTTTGTAATTCTTAGGTAGCGGATTACCATATTAGACATTATGTCGTTTTTTTTTAAAGTTTCTTCAGACAAACCACTCAAACCTCTGTTTAAGACATCGAGCTTACAGAACATTTTCCAGGATAGATGAGAAAAATGCAATCAGACCTGTCCCTGACGACCACCCATCGTCTAGGAGAAAGGCGGTCGTCTTTGACAGATGCTCCCCTTACACAGTGTCACTATGATTGTACAAAATATTTAAAAACTCAAAGAGGGAAATAGTAATTGATCATTTGTATAGGTTTTGGGCTCCAGCAACCATCTGACCTTATGCAGTTGTGAGCGCCGCCATACACTTCATTATCATCCAGTGTCAGATCTGCGGCGATCATGGTTCTCCATTCATTTCTTTACTCGGATGCTCTTAAAAAGCTACGTTTCCCTGATCAAAACACTTACCAAAACAAAAACAAAAACAAAAACAAAAGCAAAAAAGATCTTGGACAAGTGGTTGTTAGAGCAGGTCCTGTTGTAATTCCGACTCTAGTCAGCCTTAAAGTATAACCCCAGCAATGATTTGAATCCAGAAACCTTCAAAGGATACAAAAGACAGGTGTCCGTGGTGTAGCGATTAGGCGCACGCAGGAGACCCGAATTTGATTCCTGAGTGGGGATGAATATTTTATCGAGTATCTTTGTTTTTCTGACGGGTTGTATCCCTCTCAGCCCAGGTTGTCCTTGACAGACATAGTCGGAAGCCCGTCTCCTAAATGTTCTAAATTGTGTAGATGGGAGGCTTAAAACACCTATAGGTAAAAAAAACCCCCAAAAACTCAAAGGTCAAAGAGGTCTACTCACGGTCATTTTTGTAGAAGGAGAGGGAGTTGGTGGTTGAACTGTGGTCGAATCTCGTCTTGGGAACATCTTTGGTGACATCTCCCTGTTGTGACATCTCGTTCTGGTGTGGTGACATTTTGTTGTTGTGACATAATAGGAGACAACTGGCAAGACGTCTGTACTGGCATCTTTCTCAACTGAAATTTGTGGGGGACATTTCGCTCCAGAGACAAATTCTGCTCGGTCTCACATGGGAGTTGTGTGGATGGACCTGGGGGGAAACAGACAAAGATAACAACGTTAATAAAATACATGTACATGTACTAACTGGTGTTCCTAAACCAACTAGCTCTGAGGGCATATAACATCAAATATTCTGGCTGGAGAGCCAGAGGAAGACACAGACGACGCTGGAGCGAATCTGTAGCAGCAGACCCCCTCAGAGCTCACGGGATGTCCTTCCGTTGGCGCTCATATGACCTTATGCAGTTGCGAGTGCCGTAAAACCTCTACTAAAAAAATGTCCCTAGTACAGGCCACTCGTCTTGTTCCAGACTGACGCCTGTATCTCCCCGCGACACCCACCGGTACAAGCGGATGAAAAAAAGTAAAGTAAAAGTAAGTACTAACTAGAACTAGATCTAGTGTTTCTTTGTCGGCTAGGTCGGCTGCTCGAGTTTTCAAAAAAGGCAGACTGGATCAATTGCAATCTGTAGATCGTCTACCCAGTTGTATAGATTTGGTACCGTTTACGGTACTTGTAACACAATAAGGTCATATAAATGCCGAAGATTAGAGGTGTTACAACAGAGTAACAAACACAAAAACTAAGAAGGAGAGATTAGGACGACCGATGTTTGACAGTAAAGAAGAAGCAAACCACACCAGAGCACCCGCCAAACCACCCACGTTTACCCAGTGAAAGACTCCACCATGCACCCTTTTGAAAAGTGACATATCGCTACCTTAGAATAATTACAATGTTCTATCTCCTCAGTATCTAGTTTTGACAAATTTGACGTTAAAAAATTTTGAGTCTCACAACATGTCAAGCTTTTTCGAAAGTAATTCTTAGAATATAACCTAACTAACGACTCCGACCATTCTTACGATTTTGATAGAGCAGATAGACAGACTATCTTTTCGTTTGTTTGTTTCAGCATGTATTTTACGAAACTTGCAATACAATAAAGTTCTATAAGTGCCAAATATTAGAGGTGTCACAAGAGAGTGATCATCATCATTGCCTTTCTCACCCTGCACCAGGGTATAGGCTATGGACAAACACCCTCCACTTTTCTCTATCCTGGGCTAGCCTCTTAATGTTATTCCATGTCTTCCCACTTTTCTGTACATCGATTTACAAGAGAGTAACAAACACAAAAAAGAAAGAGGGGAGATAAAGACGATAGATGTTTGATAGGAAAGAAGAAGCAAACCCCACCAGAGCACCCGCCAACCACCCACTAATTTGGTTTCTGACCTCACGGTCTTAGTAACTCAAAACAGCCAAAAATGTCAGATGGAACTTTGTAATTCTAAGATAGCGGTATGGCGGACTTATACACTGGGCAGTCCAGACGCTGGAAGAAAGAACAACAACAACAACAACAACAACAACAACAGCAACAAAAAAGAACCCCACGAAGACAGAAAGAACGGAAGTAAAAGAAGACAAAGGCACGGGAAACAGACGGTGGTGGTCTAGGTTTTCTGGTTTGAGTGAATAGATTCACAGAGACACAATGATGGCCATTTAGCGAAGGGGGAAACAAAGAGAGAAATACGAGAGGGACAGCAAGTAAGAAAGAAAGAAAGAAAGAAAGAAAAAAAAGAAAGAAAGAAAGAAAGACAGAAAGAAAGAAAGAAAGACAGACAGAGAGACAGAAAGAAAGAACGAAAGACAGAAAGAAAGAGAGACAGAAAGAAAGAAAAAAAGAAAGAAAGAAAAAAAGAAAGAAAGAAAGGAAAAAAACAGACAAACAGACAAACAGACAGACAGACAGACAGACAGACAGACAGACAGACAGACAGACAGACAGACAGACAGAAAGAAAGAAAGAAAGAAAGAAAGAAAGAAAGAAAGAAAGAGAGAAACAACAGAGGGACATGTAGAAAGAGAGAAAGAACAGAGGGACAAAAAAGAAGTAACACAGACCACAGACACCTTTATCGACATACTTTTTCTCTCTTGTTTCCCTTTTTCACGGGTGTTGGCAACGTAGTTGGACAATGTCAAAGCTCCTTCGGTTGTTTTTATTTATTTATGTATTTATTTATTTATTTATTTATTTATGTATTTATTTATTATATTGATTTATTTATGAGTTTTTTTTAGTATTTATGAATTTATGTATTTTCTTTTCTTTTTTTAAATAATTTTTTTTGGTTTGGGGGGATGGGCGATTTACCCCAAAAGCTTTAGTCATAAATACCATGTATTTTCACGGCTTAAGTATTTTGTAAGCTGGCTTGGTACCTTCTTTCATTTCAAAATTACTACCCTCTGAAGAAAGAAGCGATTCCAGTTCTAATAAAAATGCGTAAACCTGTTAGATTTTACGTTAGTAAGGCACACCCCCCACCGCTACATCCCCTGCCCTGTTACTCCCGCCCACTCTTTCAGTGCTATTTTTTTGTGTTGTTTTGTTTTGAGGGTTTTTTTTGGTTTTTAATTTTTTTGTGTTTATTTCTTTTGTGTGTTTTTTTTTTTGTTGTTGTTGATTTGTTCCGTTTTGTTTTGGGTCTTTTAATTTATCACTTTAAAAACTACAACACTCATGTATGTATATTTAGGTTTATGATTGATAATTCTTACCTTTTCTATATATTGTTTTATTTCTTGTTGTTGTTGTTGCTGTTGTTGTTGTTGTTGTTGTTGTTGCTGTTTCGTTGTTGTTGTTGTTGTTGTTGTTGTTGTTGTTGTTGTTGTTGTTTAGAGGAGGGCGGAGGGGTGTGGTAGCGTTGGTCTCCTGGTAGTTATGTCGGGGGTCGTCACCAACTACATCACGTCCCCCCGGGCGGGCGTGCTACTGACTGAAGTGTCTTTAGGCCATTCCCAAAGGGGGGACATTAACCATGTTCTTTTGCACAGTAGAATTGTAAATTGTATATGGGCTGATTCATCAATGTCATGCTTACAGTCATATCTGTGCCTGAACTGCAACAGGGAACTGCTGCTTTTTCTTTCTCAATCGTTACTACCGTCATTTTTCCTCTACTTCTTTTGTATGTTTGTCACACTCTTCTGACCCGCTATTTCAGGGGTGCCTCGATAGTCGAGGCAGACTTTGGGCCGTTGAAGCTAGAGAGGTGAGCAGAGTAAGCCTGATTCCCTGTAAGGACTTCTCTGTTGACATCCATCTCTTGGCGCTCATATGACCTTATGCAGATGCGAACGCCATAAAATCTCTACTAAAACTACAACTGAGTTACATCACGTGTTCTCTACTCTGTTTGCCCTACATTGAGTGAGACACAGGACACAGTGTGTCATTACCATGCGTACCTCAGCTTAGAATAAGTAATACTAACCACCAGAAATTTGTAATAAATCTAAGTCGTCACCAGAATCTTTAACATTTAATAAAGGTATGACGAAATATCACATGGAGCCCGCTTCTATAGGGTCGCTTTTAAGGACAAGCGGGCTAACCCAGATTTCATGAGTTTCCAGAAACCTTGACCTACACCAAAAATAGGCATTGCACTACCTATAGGAGACGTTTGGTTTCATTGGTGCTTACATTTGTTTGGTTAAAGAGAAAACACTCCTTGTCTTAGAAACTGAACAAGGTGGAAAAACTGTACCTTTGATTTTCTCAAAACAGCGTTTTTCGGGATAGCCCATTGTGCTTAAAAGCGACCATATGATGATGATTATCCGTACAATCGTATCTGAGCGCCTGTAAACTGGCAGTTCTCTGTGAGTACTTCCCACGATGTTTCAGAATGTTGCAATATGCAGTGGTAGAAAAGAATTGTAAAGCTCATTGCCAACTTTCGGGTGATTATAATAATGCACGCTTTTGTTAATATTTTTTGTATTATCGTATTATTATTAATATTATTATTATCATCATAATCATCGTCATCATTATGATTACATTGTATTATAAACCTCATCATCACCACCATTATCATTGTATACAGAGAATACTCATCACCATCATCATCATTTAGAATATGGAAAAGACTTTTTTCTAAATTGTTATTGTAAAATACTACAAATCTCCGCCACTCAGAAAATGGGGGTGTCCGCAGCACATCTCACCTACATGTATTACACTCATTTTGCGTACGCATATGGCCTACGTCACAGCTCATCAATGACACCCTTTTGTGGCAAAACTTGTTACAAAAATTAATTTTAAATAAAGGGACCACTTTGTTGTCCTAAAGGGTCTTTTTGTTTGTTTTTGTAAAGTATTTTACGGCGCTCGCAACTGCATAAGGTCATATGAGCGCGCGGGACACACCTAATATTTTCAGTTGGCAGGAAATTTTGAATTTTGCTCGGGTGGCGGCTGAAGCCTACTCTTATCGATTTTAGACCACCAAAGGATCTTTAACGTGCGCAACTTGCACACGAGCCCTCCCCTACCAGAAGATCAGGGGTATGGTAGAAAGACAGCAGTAAGGAGGAGCTAAGGAGTAGCAGTAGAAAGGCTGCAGAAAGAGTCAGGAGCCCAGAGGAGGGGGCAAAGGAGGTGAGGGGGTGGAGGCAGAAAGTAGAAATGAAAGCAGACAACAGAACATTGCTAGAGAGCAGGAAAGGAGGTGAAAGGACTAAATGGTCTCATAGTTTACGTTCAACAAGCACAGTGTTACGATTAGAAGATAGGACGGACTTGCTTTTGAAAGTTCTTTTGTCCCGGCACACGGAATGTAGACTTTTTTTTAAATATGTAGAAACCACCCACTAGAATATTAAATATTAGTGTTTGTTAAGGAATTTTTAAAGGAAAAAAGCTAAGAGGTGGTGTTTTAAAAAATTATTGATCTATTAAGAGAGATTGATACAAGTCTTTTTGCAAAAACTGGACAGTCTATGTTCGATAGTTGAGGAAATATGATTTGACAATAAGTTGCGCCACGAATTTTTGACCGCACTAAACCTCCAATTCCTGCTTTCCGGAACATTAATAAT